AGGAGATTCGATTGGTTATCCATGGAATGACCCTATGTGTTAATGATCATAATAGTGCAATTCGGACTACTGCTGCGGAAACTTTGTTAGAATTGCATAATATGGAATTGATCGAACAATGGGGTCCAAAAGATCGAAAAATGCGTAATTTTTGGTCAATAAGGTAAAAATTACACATTATTACTAATATTACAGAACATCGGTACTTTGGTATATCACTTATCGGTCATTTTTTGCTAACAAAGTTCCCAAGTAATGCTCGTTATTTCTCGGCAAATTTTGGATTTCAAAGAACGTGATGAAGGAACAAAATATTTGCTTGATCTTTTACTTCAACTTTTCAATCGTCGAAATGAATTTTTAAAAGCTCACAAGGTATGTCACAACTAGTTTCAATTGGATAACCGATGAATCCATATTATCAAAAGAAGCTCGTTATATAACGGAATGTATTCCTATATCAAATAGGATGAAACAAATGTTGGAATTAATGCACCTGAACGTCTAGGTTGTAATGTTGCATTGGAAATTGCTTTATTAGTGTTATTGTGTTCTGCAGATACGGATATATGTCAAATGGCAGTGAATTGTTTCCGTCATTTATGCCTTGAAGCTCAGTTAACTACAGAGCTTGTATCCGATGAAGTTGATGTACAATCAGCACCTCCATCTGAATTACCAATTGTGGAAAATATGGATGTATATATGGAATTGTCCTCATCATCTTATGTAGTTCCGGGTAAATTATCTAATAATAATATTTCCATAATTAAAAAATAAATAAAGTGTTAATAATATAAAAAAATATACTAGGTCGAATGGCGCAACAGAAACGTATTCGTAGGTTATTACGTTTAATGAAAACACCCACTACCGGTAATTTTGCCGCATGGGAAGAAGCATATAAACGTTGGAAATCACTTACTGGAATGATTGCAAAACCAGCTGAAGATATATCAGTACATGATCCAGAACGTAGGGGTCGCATTCCTTGGCATACTACTAGTCCAGCAAGACCTCTAGGTACTAGTGCCACAACAATATCAGAGGTAAATTAAATAACGTTACATTTAAAATTTTTTAGAATGATTCATGAATTATTAAAAACATTTACTCTTTATAACAGTCACAAACGACAGAATGGCACAATTATACTGGATTTTTAGCGGCTTTGGGAGGATGTTGCGTTTTTGACAAACCAATAAATGGTTCGACTACTAAACCACAAGAATCAAATCAAGTAATGGTTGAAAAATATGTTCATGATATGGTAGATTTACTTGTCTGCGATTCTGTGTATGTACGCGAAAGTGTCAAAGAAATTCTGGGCTCAGAGCTGAGTCCAAGATTATATGTTATTCTCTTTAAGCATATTGAATCAATTGTATCTCAATTTTTTGATGAGGATGGAGATGTATTTCAAACGGAAAAAAACACACTTTGCGTGGAACAAGCAATATCTGTTTTAAAGCTCATTTTGGATCGTATCCAAGATGCTTCTGAAAACTTATACGCAGTAGACCTTGGAGGATTAGTTTTATCGTTTGCTCGATATTTAAATAGACTTGGCGCAAATCATGTTGCATTACGAATTAAAAAAAGAATGTGCCAATTGGCAGATACGTTAATGCAAAAAAAGGACTATATCACACTTCGCCAAGAAATAGTATTACGTAATAGACTGTTGGAAATATTTATTGAGTGGACTTCAGATTATTCAATGGTATTGTCGATAATTTCTTTATTTAACGTTTACAAGGATTAAATTATTGATAAATAACTTTGCTAGACGACTGATGGTCAAGGCATTAGCGAGAATCTTTCAAATAAAAGTGAAAGGTTACACCGAGATTTGGACCAAGCATGCCTAAAAACAATTGTTTCATTATTGGCGCAATTACCATTACAACCATCAGAAACGGTGCATGAAGCAGAAATTAGTGGTGTAAAATCTCGGCTTTTTTTTAAATATTTTTCCTTCTTCATTAAGTTACTGAACAGATGTAGAATTCTTGAGGTACGTTTTCTTTTCTGTTCATCAAGTTTTTAAAAATAAAACTTACATTATAAGTCTTGATATTTACAGGCTATTGATAGTGGAACGCATTCAGCGAGAAATAATCAAGATTTGCAAATGTTACTAACGAGGGTAAAAATGAATCCAAAATATGCATGCGTGTATAGTATATGATAATAGATTACATAGAATTTTTCATTTGTATAGTCTAGGGAGTATGTAAAAGATTTGGGACCTTTGAAGGACTACACAATTTTAGCTTTAAGTAATTTGCTTAGCGCTAACGTAGACTCTGGATTGAAATTTTCACTATCAATGGGATATCATGAAGACACAAAGACCAGAACGGCATTTATGCAAGTCCTTACCAATATTCTTAATCAAGGCACTGAATTTGAGGGCCTTGCAGAAAATGCAATGAACGATCGATACGACAGGCTTGTTGAAGTATATAAAATATTTTGTATAAATATGTTTAGTATTAATAACAATGTGTTAAGTTAATTATCTATATTTATTATTTAATTTTTATTTAATTTAGCTTATAACAGAATCTGACCTTAATATAGCATTATCGTTATGCGATGTCTGCCCGGTTTCTGACATAGATGATGTTTCCCGAGTGCTTCTGGCCGTTTTTGATTCTCGAAATAAAACTATGCCTCTGTTGAAAGGCATCATTGAAAAAGAAGTTTCAAATACCGGTATAAATACTTCTTTCTTATAAAATTTAATTGTGAATTTAATGTTAACATTATTTTGTTCATGGTTAGAATATGAGTCTGATTTATTCCGACGTAATTGTATGGCTACACGCATGTTGGCTGCTTTCGCTAAAATTCACGGGGCAGAATATTTGCGTTTCACGTTACAACCTTTAATAGATGATCTCCTCAGTAAACCCAGTGATTTCAGCTGCGAATTGAATACTGATAACCTTCTTCCTGGTGAGGATAAAAACAAAAATTTAATTAACCTGAAGACCACAGCCCAAGCTTTCTTGGATGGTATTTGTGATTCTGGGTCAAATATGCCTAGGTAGGACTAATAATTGATTAAAGAACTTTTTTTTTGTAAAAAAAAAATACAAGGCTATGCATTGACTTTGTCATTTTTAGAACCTTTCGTCAAGTATGCTATTATATAGGAAATTCTGTTGAAAAAAAATATCCACGTGCTAAATGCACTACAGTAGGAGCATTTGTGTTTCTGCGCTTCTTTAATCCAGCAATTGTATCACCAGATAATGAAAACCTATGTAAACCTATTCAAAATGTAAAAATTCGAAGGACATTATTATTAATCACAAAAGTTATTCAGAATCTTGCGAATAACGTACTTTTTGGCGCAAAAGAACCTTTTATGATTGTTCTTAACGAGTTTTTAAATGATAATATTGTTAAAGTAACTGCATTCTTGGAAGAAATTTCTGTAAGTATCAGTTACACAAAATCACATTCAAAGATTATATGATTCATTTATTTCTTAATTTTAT